TCGACTGTTAGGAAATCAAGCACACTGTGGTCTTTCATTCTCATCGCGGGAATCGAAGGTGGCGAAAGCACATCATATTCCTGCTTGTTTGGAAGTGCATACAGTCAATGTGAAGTTTAGGACATGATGCATCATTATATCTGCTGCTGAAATACATTTTTGCGGTGGATAGCTCAAATTTTTGGCATTTATTTCAGTCATTGAAAGCAGAAAGATAAGTCGACCGATTCAAACTGACCCTGGAGACAGTAACGGATTCCACAGAAACAAGTAACATCCGCTAGCGGATGCTGTGATAGAGTATATAATGGTAAGGTCTGTTGCTGGGGTAGAATCAAGCACAAAACCGTATCTCTTTGATTTAATTTACTATGTGGATGATTGAGTGACTGAATTCTCGGAAGTAAGTGAAACGCACGGGATGTTCTACCGCAACGTACCCCTATCGAAGACTAAAACCTTTTTCCGGGAATCTTGTAAATGCAGATCTGAATGCCATTGTTGTCACCAGAACGAATGCTGCTAAACCAGTGAACTAATCGATAGCATTTAAATTATCACCAAATTTCGAGAAATTAATTTATTCGACCAGCTGAAAAAGAAAATCCACTACATTTTATGAACCGCAGCCTAGTACAAAATAAAATTACAAAACAAAGGAGTGGAATACACAGCTTCGATAACGATGAGGTCAATTGATATTTAATTTAATTGTAGAAAAAGGAAACATTTCACGCTTGGAAAGTGTTTGACTTCTTTCGGGACCCATGCTGTTTTCAGTTTAGGATTTCCAGAAAGATCGCTCCTCAACTGTCACGGAGCACGGAGTGATTGATAAAGCTGAGGAGGAGGCTTTTTAGATTCGTGAGCAAAACTCCGTGTGTTTCAAAGTTACTCTTCAATGATAGCACGAGGGTTGTAGACGGTCCAAACATTTAAAGCTCCTCCGTTTGGATTAAAAATAAAACATGTAAAATTGCTGGGGCTACAAATGTGCAGAATTAATCACCTTGTTCAACGATACACAACAAGGTTTGGAACCGAAGGATTATTTTTAATTAAAAAGAAATTCGTATTATGTGAATATATTTAATTCATCAGTATGGATGAAACAGATGCCAAAATGGTTGGCATTGAATCATTATTCCTAATTTTGACGTGTTCGGTGCAACATAACCCACATTAGGATCTGCAAATGTACCTTTTCATTTGAAATTCACCCCTTGAAAGTATGTTAATTCCCCAATCCTTCTTATTACTTTTTATTCACTACAAACTGGAGTACATTTCAACTTCTCATTCGTGAACTAGATACCAGGGGTACAAACACGTCAACCATCAACGATAAGTCCCAATCAGGACGAAACAGCTTTTCAGTGTGCTTCTCCAGCCATGACACAGGGCTCCACTATAATGTGCCAATAATCAAGTATCGCACACCTAATTTAGTTCTTGTTGCTGGTAGTTGTTTTCTTTTTATTGTTTTTGTGGAGGTGGTTTCTCCGTAGGATCAAATATAAACGCTTATTTGTGTTTCTTCGGATGCAATGGTTTTGCTGTCATCGTCCAATGTAGAAGGTTTGTTGCGAATAATGTGTTTCAACGAGATCCGAATACCAAGTGTTTTTAATTTTAATCCTATTTTCTTGTTCCAAGATGCAGTTTCGCTTCCTTTCTTACAAATAATTTGTAAGTTTATGTATACTGAAATTGGGCATAGGAATAAAAGAGAACAATCTGCAGCCAATGACACTTTGACGGTAAAGTGCATCGGTGATTAGGCGAAACAAATAACGGTATGAATCAAACAGTTTATTTGTATGGCGATTGGGAAAGGTTCAATAACCTCGATGGGATTCCAACCGACGCATGGATGCCGCCTACGATATGTAAGCGCACGCTCTACCAGCTGTTGCTTTTGTTGATCGTCAGTCAGGCTCGCGCAATGTATTTACGCAGCAAAAGATTTACATACGCCAATCATTCTTTGGGTTGCAGTTCATTAGTTTTCCTCTGTGATCACGACACTGTATATCTGTACGTGTTCCAGTGAATGCCTGGTAGGGGCCTACTTTGGATTATGGTTTGAGTCTTATCAGAAACAGAGCCAAACTCTTGCTGAAATTGAGAAGCATTATGCAGAACCATCCTAGGGACTGAAGTAATAATTTTATCCCATTTCTCACAGGTAGCGAGGAGGCATACGCTCTGTTTGACCAACAGGCGGCTGAATGATCACTTCAATTTGATTATGCGTACTATACCACAAATAATCTTTGCAATCAACTGGAATTGTCCATCAATTCACTATGGTCCAGCGGCTATGACTCTGTTGGGAACGTTCTGCAACCATTCTCATTGATTGATGTGACTTTTCGCAAGCCTCAGGGAGACAGTTTCAGGGTTTAGTCAGAAACTGAGACTTCTTTGAGATATCCATTCGATTCGTTTCTGACATCTTTTCATGGTAGAACTAAACGGGGCACCCTGAAGTCAGCAAAGGCAGATTTATATCACTGCAGTGGATATATGGGTGGTGTACTGTACGTTACAGGTGAACAACAAATTGTCACGTATGACTGCCATATTTAATGCAGCACATGTTTTCTTACAGTTAAGTAAAGATACATAGGCGATTCTGACTGGAACGGCATATCGAACAAGTGGGATTTTATTGAGATCGATTCGTCCGTTTGAATACATATAAATTTTATGCTCGTCATTGGATTATAATTGTGTCACCTCTTGAACTGTACAGGTGGAAAGAGATTTACTGACCAAGCCTAGAGACAAAGCGTATCTGGGAACAGATTCCTAAATAGTTTGAGACGTTTTTGTCACAGCTTGTCAGAACCGTGATAACATGATAGGAACGGGGCACAGGATGAAGCAATTAAACGACAGTAGTATCGCTGACTATGCCAAAACCAGAAAGTTATGAAGATGAATGTGGGAGTAGGTATCCCGAAGTCTATTCCATGGTGGTATACTCTCAAAGCAAACTGATTCACATTTATCACTATTTCGGTATGAGTCATTACAACGGCCTTTTCCAAATTCGTACTTCACACGGTTTCTAAGTGTACATTCCGAATTAGAAAAGCCACTTGATTTCTCCTCGTAACCGTTTTTCTCGTACTTTCAATAGGCGCTTTATGCTGACCAGCTGAAGGAAAAGTGAATTTGGCGGTCCGCGGGGATGTGCTCTTTGTCACAAAAACACTCACGTACCTGAACGCGTTTTGCCAAACATAGTTCAAAGAGGTACACTGAGTTGATAGACACCGAATTAGGGCTCAAATAGCAACACCGCTAGCATCACCACCACTCCCAGAGTCCAGTTACTCACCGTAGCTGGAAATCACCAGCCCGCCAAAGCACGCACCAAGACCACGACCGAGGCCGTAGTGAACAGCTTTCAAGAAACCTTGTGTGGTCGAGCGTAGTTCTGGCGAGAATGCTTGGGTGATGTATGAACAACATGCTACCCAGACCATTGCATGAGTGAAACCTGAAAAGGAGGATGCAGGCAACATCATGAAACAATGAAAATTTCAGCTGAGAAACTGCAAAATGGCGAACTTCCCACTTTAATGGTTTCGTGCAAACTGATAAGACGCACTGTGTTGATCCACTGAATTTTACCTAATTCAAAGTTTTATTCCCCATGTGTGGGAATTCTGAATTGTAATATATGTTTAAGCAAATTACCCCTCGCCTATCATGTCAATGTAAGAATATCAATCTTAAACTGAAGCTAAATGAATTGCATGAGCGGTCAACGCAGACGGCGTAAATTCGTACGTAAGTTACTTCATCAATCTCGTTGTACAGATTTGAGCATAAAACACTTCCGATGTTTATTTTATTCCGTAATGTACAGAATAGGAACACAGTCTGTACGACTAGTTGTGGACAAAGAAATATACTAGACCGTCGTCTGGGTACTTTTTACACACCAATCATTCGTACACTGATCGCTGATGTTGATCACATATGGCTTTCAAAGCATAGTTAATCCAGCCTTTGTTGTTACCATGACCACAGGGAGACCGATATGACTATTTCTGGTTTAGGATATGGTGTGGGGCGCGGGGAATGAACGAGACAGAACAGAGACAACAAAACAGTACTCAGATAGAGATGGGGTGATAGGCAATGGAGATTAAAATATGCAAATCGAAAGTCATAAATTTGGGTTACAAGAGAGATGATCGAATGAGGGGTAGAGAACAATGGCAATGGTTCGTTGCATCATGTCCAAATTACAGCGGAGTGAGTGAAACGATGCATTTTGTCGCGCAATCTGGGCGTCCAGATTACACAGAACGTGATGGAATGTGAAGTGAATCGTTCAGCTCTAACTGATAGTCCAAATAACTGAGTTGAATTATCCTATTCCTCTCAATCACGTCTTGTGTAACGTTTTTTTTGAAAATAGTGACTGAATAAACCCAAGTGCGTGCTTTCGTAAAGCATCACCGATATCGTCGTATGAGATTCACAATTTTTCGATGGAGCTTCTTTCCATATTTAATTATTTAAAAATATTAACATAACCCATCACTAGAAAAAATGAGTTGGAAATGTGACTGTTTCCTTGAAAGACGCATATGAGTAGTTTGGAACTGACCTCAACGGATCACGCATTTTATTCAATGAAAAACGGTCCGAAAATCGGAATGGCATACCTTGTAGGAACTCGAATGGCAGTATCCACCACGGATTGGTGATCCAGGACACGTAGAGGAATCTAGCCACGTTACCAATCAGACCCAAATATAGCACTTTCAAATGACCTGTTAAAAAATGATAATATGCGCGCGCACGAGAGAGAGAGAGAGACAAGTGAACAATATGACTTTTAAAAGAATCTACTGTGGATTAAAAGGGATAAAGAATAACTTTTCACTCTTTCCACTTCACCTTAGCCATTGTTCACAGAGATTCACCCTCAAGGAACACATCTTTTAGGTAGTATCATAAAATAGACATGGGCCAAGTTAACTAACGACATATGTTTCACTGTACTCATTCTTCAGCCACAGATGTAATTCATCTGCAGATAGGTTCAAAGTTGCGCTTCATGCAGCCTTTTCCTGTCATGGGAAAGCAGTTAAGTAAAAAGAAACACTGTAGAGGTAGTCTGAGCCATTTTCGAGAAATCGATTGTAATACATTGGTTCTAACTTGTTAACTAAGGTGAATAAGAGAAAAACCCTTTGTGTGTGATATTGAATACTGGGTTATTAGGGCCTAACCCGTGGGGAAAATGACGGTAAACAATCAAACATAGCGTCCCACAAATGTGTGTATATGCATTTATGTGCTTACTTCAACATATGAAAAACGGTAAAAAAAGATTCCACAGGTATTCGCCTTCGTGTGCCCGAATCGGTGACTAAGATGTGCACATCCGAATTCGAGTTCAGTTACCGTAATTTCGAGGTCAGTGTTCAGACAGCACAGCTTGAGGGCACTATATTCGATCCCAAAATTGAAAATCAATAGTTTCAATGCATGCCATAATATACACACAATAACCACGGCCTAAATGTTAATGGTTCTAGTTTATTACCGGCGATCGCCCAACTGAATCAGCAGGAAACTACCCAAATCAGAAATCATATTTTAATTGTTTCCCATGAACGTACGGTGACCGGTGGCGAATATTCTTCGGTACAGGAAACGCATGATCCGAGTTCATACTTCTGTTTTGAAATGCTGATAGAGCGCTAACTTTATAGGACGTTACAGAGCGACGGTGACTTTTTCGGACCACGTCTGGTAAGATCAAACTGTTTTTCTACGGCCGTCTAGAAATGTCTAAATACATGCTAATGTTTACCTAAAGTGGAGTTAGGTTTATTCACTCCGTGTGATTTAAAAACAATCATATAAGGGCACTGAATATAGTGGAATCACATTAGAACGGGGAAGTGAACTTCATACTCGTATCATATAAGTGGTCAGTTCTATTTCACACTGCATCGAACGGATCCAACAACATCGACAAAATATGGAATACTTCTACGAACGGGTTTCACACCTTTTTTGCATACGAAACATCCAGTTTTTCAAACTGTCCATTTTACTGCCTTTTCGAGAATGCAACATACACACAAACGAACTGGTCTAAATAGAAGAAAGACATGCTAGGAGATGTTTTCTAATGGAACCTATTCATTCAGCAGTACTCCATTTTCACCGCACGGCCAAATACACCGTAGGGGCGGGGGAAAATTAACCGAAATGCGGGAACGCGATCACTCGAAATTACCCAATATAGTTACTGTTTGGAATTCTGGACCCACGAGTCACGAGTTGGCGAAACCTCAATGAGTGCTCCAGGATACTTGTATGCTGTACTATACATAAATACATATATGTATATATTCCAAGAGAGAATGGAAGCGTACACTGAGTTGTAAAATGATGATGGTAACGTTTCGATCCAAACTAGGACTCGTTATCAAAGGTTTATATATATATATATATATATATATGTGTGTGTGTGTGTGTGTGTGTGTGTGCGACATAAATCTGGTTTCGGAGATACGTTTCCTTTTCTAACATCATACTTTTATATTGATGGCTATGGGTGAAGTGTATATTACACAATGATATATGTATATATCGTGTCATGTTGAGCGAAATACAAAGTATTACAATCCCATGCGTGCGTGCGTGCGTGCGTGAATCATCGAAACCCGGCAACCGAGAAACTTACCAATCTTTTCGATGATTTGTGTGCTAAAATAGAACATCACAATCTCGGAAATGTGATTGATTACTGTGGCAATCCCAAACAGTGTGGGCGTGCCGTTCAGTTCTTGCATGTGCCAGAACAGGAATGTGAATACTTGACCAACACCCAATCCCATGAACCACGTGACGAATAAGAAAGCCAGGAGTTGAGGTTTGCAAAACTGTCGCATTGCTTTGGCCCATCGTGTAAACTGCACTCAAAAGGGGCAGGGTGGTGTGAAGTTCCAGTGTGGGGAGGGCGGAGGAGGCGGGCATGATTGAGGCCTGGTGTTAAGCAAGCATATTTAGCGATCTGCATTTTATATGGTTAGATACTGTTGTAGAAAACTGCACAGTATAAATAGCAAAAGTAATCTCATCGATTCATCATGGAAAACAAGATACACAGCCTTAACCACGACAGGTGTCCGAATATGAAGGGAAATTAAGTCAAGTTAATTCCAGAAAGTATCTAAGATATTTTTCCAATTGCAGGAGACCTGTAATGAAATGACACAATGATTTATCTTATGTATTATCATACTGATACCGCAAGTAGTCCGTATCGGTCGACCTGAATCGAGTTCAGGTCCAAGGTCTGCTAAGCAGGAGGAATGAACAATGAGCGGACGGAAAGGGAAAAGTCCTTTGAAATAACCTAATTTGCTCTTACCCCATATGACAAGTTTACCAAGAAATAAAGTTATGGATCGTCTCAACAATAACCAACATAGGTAAACCTACACTATGCAAAGTGATTACCAACTAAACAGGTCTTTTGATCTCTGAAATCATTCTTTTTAACCTGGGACCAACAGGAGCTCCGATCTACGGCAAAAAGATACTCGCAGTCCATCTGGGGTGTTTTTATGTGATCTAATAATATTGGATAACACACTCCGAACTTTATCTTTTCAACAATATTTTAATTACTGCTGTACACCGGTAATCTCCGTTTGACAGACTTAATTCGTTGATTTTATGGTCAAACTCTCACTACTAATACTTTTGAAGTCCACCACTCTAAAACGGATTGAAAAGTTAATTATTAGTCTGAGCTGCACTTGCTCATAGAATTCGTATCTGAGAGTTTGTCCGCTTCATTCATGAATCAAGTAGATCTGTTATATAGTCACTATTTTTTTTCCTCGTTCACGTTATTGCTAATTACTAAATAAATCTGAAAAATCTGTCTTATGTACTCGAAGGTACGATGTTTCGAATTTTAAGTTTTGTTCGTTCAGCTCACTTCTCTCGCATAAATCGCGTAGATTATGCTTTCCAAAGCAGTTGCCTGCTTGGTAATCTGACTAGTTTAATAAATGAGAACGGTACATTAATATAATTGAAATTGGTTTTGAACTGACTTTAAATGTTTGCTGTGTTTTATACTGTGGCATGAGGACAACCATCACTGTCATCTTCAGCTACAAGTGAGTGATGATCACGTGTTCTGCATGTGCTGTCCGAGAATAGGTCTTCAGCGTGATCCCAAGTACTGATTAAATTTCCCGCTTTCAGTTTTTAAATGTGTATTGTAGCGGATAAACCTCTTCTATTTTCAACCCAAAAGATTCATGTTTATCCAGTGTAGCAAAAGTTAAAGCAAGCTTAGAAACAAACGTGGTGGTAACCTTGGCACGATTAGTTTTATTGCACTATAAGTCCGCGGGATTGAACACATAAGAAGAAAAACATTTTCACGTTCATTTATAGGTATAGGGGACTAAGTTATTCCTCTGGGTTCTATGAGCGCTGGCTTTGACGGATCAGTGATGAGGACCAAGATGAAGTTGGGCAAAAGCGCGTTCAGTGCAGTGTACACTGATATTGCAGGATGGAGGTAACTATCACTTCATTTCATTTTTAAGGAAACCAGTCTTGTAGATTGTCCACTGAGGTGAACGTTATTAGCCAAAACAATATGGTGGATTGGGTTTGTCCAATATTCGGTACAATAAATCATATCTCAGCAAACTGGGCGGTGGAGATAAAAAGAAAGACCATCATCGTTGTGTGACGAAATCGCTTACCACACAATACCAAGATGTCACAATAATCTCGGAACAACCAAAGAAACTACATATGTGAAACTGTTTCACTATTGTTATAAACTATCAATAGCACATATTTCCCGGGAGCTTTGACGTTCCGGTCTCACCACTACGACTAAGCTACTCCTGAGATGGATAGCAATGTTTAATTTCATAAATATTGCTTTTCTGTTCGGTAACCAAGTTAAAGAAAACCGAATCAATTTCCACCGAAGACCGTAAACTTTTAACAATCTAGCTCCAAACGTTTCCGCGGACTCTCCTACATTTTACCATCAAATATATTATTTTTCGTATTTCAATATTTATTTAGCCGACTGCATTAAAGTACACCAGTCGAGTGCACACGACAGTCGTTCATTCGGAAATTAATTTGTTTTTGGTATCTGCACTCGTTGACAACTTCGATCGGGAAAAAATCACGTGCGGTGCGAGTGCCTGAGAAGTGATGTGATCCAACGGCATCGATCAGTTTCCTCGCGATTCAAACACTAACCTAATCCGAATTGGAAGAACTTGGAATACAACTGGTGTCCACATAAAAAGGGAACAAAAGAGCGAATTTAATTAAAAGAAAGAACATGATTACCGTTTAATTGCAGCGTGTCAAAACGGGCAGTAACGGGAAATGGAAGCGATTATAACGAAGTGAGTAGGTTTAAGCTCGTAGGCAAATGGTCAATGACAATGAAGAAAGCTATTTTGTATGGCAAATCAATTAGAAGTTCATTTATAATTTTGCTCAATTTACTGTTGTGTAAAGAGAATATAGTTGGGTCAATAGTCTGCTCATTTACTTTTGAAAGCTGTTTCTTGCCGGTCCCGATAGGCCAACTTATAATACCTCGGACTTGATGAAACCCATGGATAACTGGAACAAATCACTTCCTTCACATCTAAAAATCACTGGGCTAGGCAGTTTGGAATTGGTTCGTAAATGTGATACGAGCATCAGCTTAAGGAGTATTTGAAATACTGATTCTCGTTATTTATTGACAACCCAGATTGAGTTCGTATTGGTTTATTTTGTGCATGACAACAACAACAAAATTCCATCAAAATCTTTAGTCGGTTAATACCAAAAAAGGGATCCAAGAATTTTACACTTTGCTACTGCAAAAAATTACGTACATACAGACACAAAGATATGAAATCAAAGAGCGGAAAACAATATAAGCAAGACTAGAAGAAAACAAAAATTTGTTCGATGACCGTAAGGAAAATCCACCATTTGCCTATATCAGACTATAGATGCTTCCCAGTTTGAACTAAACATCACGGAGTAAAGCAAGCTGCTCGTTACCCCCTCCCCCCCCCCCCCCCCCCGGAACAAAAACGATGTCTGAAGCTTAGTCGATTATACTCATTTGTTTACTACTGAACAATTCTTTGAATTGATATGATATTCTGTAAAGTGGGGGGGGGGCAATAAGATTTCTACTTCTATGACCAGTTTTCACCCAAGTGGGCGTAGTTCCATTCACTTGAAATTATAATTGAATGTTTGTCGTGTTTCGCTCGCGTGTCAGAGATTATATGCGTATTTGTTTGTTTCATACTCGTTCACTCGCTCAACCTGTCTCCTCGTAGGGACAAATATTCCGCATCGATTATTCTCCTATGGTGTCCGGGGATGCATAAGATTGTACAATTATCACGAAGCAAATGATTCTTGGTCCCTCAGAGGAAAGATGAAAAGAAAAACAATCATACGGATGTGCATTTCTAACACTCGATATGACAAGATCTTCCATCAAGCAAATCAAAGAGACATGGTGATGAAAGTTAAATTAATCTATTCCGTTTGATCAAAGAAATCGGCGTAACTTGCTTATGTTTGCCACCCCACCCCACACACACACACCTGTCTCAGTAAGATTATTCATCTACGACTGACAATTCAAAGCGTACTATTTCAGGAGAAACGGAAACGATTATCCAGGAAGTTTCTATAGAAAACGCATTAGGATGGATTCCTAGTTCCAGTCTTTGTTCATTCGTCAGAAACCGCCTAATGCCAGCCTTGATTTCAACTAAGGTACGTTAGCTTAAGTGTTAACATGTCGACTATCGATTGCTAAGACGCACTTCACCGTTAAGCTCTGTCCCTCCTTTAAAACGAAAACAACGCTGAAGATACAAGACAAACTGTACTGTTGATCTGTCTTTCTCGTCTCTCTTCCTCTCTCCCTGTATTCTTACTCATGCCCCTGTATAGGGGAATGTGTATGAAGGTCAATCAGGCGACAGCAGATAGGGATTCCAGTACACTACCCAGTGTGGTTATCAAAAAGGATCAGTAAGAATGGGACTATGCCATGCACTTGGCACAGGGTCACAAGCTGACGCGAAAGCGATCATGCAGTGTCATCTGTCCGGACAGCCTAGAATCGATCAAAATGGGGTGAAACTCAGAATGCGATACACAATCACGATCAGGCTAAGTCCGACAAATGCTGTGAACGGGGAAACAGCTAGTTAAGACCACACTGCATAAGGTCACTGTGACTAGGGGATAGACACACCGGGCTGGTTCATGCGTGGCTAGTCCATCCAGGCTCGCAGATCCTCAAAATCAACCACCACCACCAACAACAACAATAACAATCAGCGTATTGTGACATTCACGACCTGGATTTTCGCATTACAGTTTGTTTATAATTTTGGCTATCTATTGTAATCGATTGATGAGAAGTATCGAAGACAAATTCCGAAACTTCCAAGGAACAGAATGGTTTGGTGCAATAATCTGCATCGAAGAAGACAGTTCTCGCGGAATAGACTGCAAATTTGGAGTGAAGAGCTCGCTGATGTGCGAGCAAAGGAGCAAGGCAGTGACAGCAAACTGATGGTTCATGATTTTCTAAACATATCCCGATTTACAAAGATATAACTGACTCTGTGTAGGAAAGGAGACGTTATCATTCACAATGGAGATGCGGCTGGAATTAAATCCATGCGGTGCAAAGAACTGGAGGTATCATACAGAAGCATGGCACATTTTTTAGCAGTTCACACTTTTAACACAAAACTTCACCTAATGACAGCGAAGTGCTCTAGAAAGCCGTGAAATCGACAAAATACCGCGTTGTCAGAGGTAGAATCAGCTGCTGAAGAACTCATGCCCCGTGATTATTCACTGCTAGAACCCAATCGTAAGGACTGATTCAGATGCCATGAGATTATTTAGCCTGTACAGCAAGTTCTCGGTTAGCGATGGCCTACACTGAACCATTTACAGTAGTTTACATTTCACTTTCCTCTTGAACCTACCGCATCAGATCTATCCGTTTTTCACGGATCCTCATTCACAAACTCGATATATCGTGCCCCGGCAGTGACCTCAATTTTGACCACACTCACAATAATTTATAAATATTTTCATTGACTTAGGGACAGTACTGAAAAGCACTTGAGATGCTTTTGATACAAAAATTGTATGAGATTTCATGATGATTTTTTTCAAATCGGATGCACTCTTTTCAGCAGATATCTCCCTTCCATTAAGGAAATTTCAAAAGTTGACATAAAACATATCTGACTCAAATTGAACCCATAACATCTGGTAGGTTCAGTCATTGAATCGATACCTTGAATATGAATGTATTATTTTAAGACGGTCAATAACTTTTCCCTCAAAAATTATTTGTCACTCGTAGGTTTGTCGGTGTTTACATGAATAGCTAGTCAGTCTGAACCTTTTTCTACCAGAGGAGCAACAATGTTATTAGATTTGTCTGTGGGTTAACTCAGAAATGAGCAGCTTTGCTTGCAAAGAACAATCAAAATATGATGAGTATAGATTGATAAAAAGAGGCGAATGATTCGCGTTTTTGTTCCAATCCTTTTCTGTAGCTTCTATTTGTTGAGGTGTTGAGTTTGTGCCTTCANGTGCACCGAACTCTTGAGCCTATTTGACCATACCCCGCACCCGCTTAAGCAACGTCCCCTCCGAGCGATTCATTCGTTGTGCGATTATAGACATGATTCTTTTTTCTCCGGTTGGAACCGTGTTGGGAAATCATACATAGCTGGTTCGTTCGCTCAAGTAAATAAGCTCAGGTCATGTTGCATGCTGCTAGTGCTCTGTTAAAATCAAATGATTAAAACGTGCTAACAATTACCATGTTCCCAGATAACATCGCAATAAATTATTTCCCAATGTTCACTCTTCCATATCTCGCTTCTATTTATTCCCACTCAAACGTGATCGAATAAGATAAAAACGATTATGTAGAACCTACTTTAACCGTAATAGGGTCTTCCAGAGAGATGATTTATTAAGCAATATCTCTACAGTAGTATATATTTATTTCATTCATTGTTTTTATAATTGCGATATTAAA